TACTAATTTTTTTTTTAGAATTTTGGGTTGCTGCGATATTGGTAAAAGTGTTATACTAAAATAGTAAAATCAATTTTTTTAAAAAATTTTATTTAAAGACTTTTAATTCATAATTTATTTGAATAAAATCCAAAGTATAAGAATAATCTTAATATAGTTTTGGGATCAGATTATTTCTCTCATGCAAACTCTTTTTTATATAAATAGATGCAATTTTCAGTGAGATAAAGCTGAATTTTGTATTTATTTATTTTTTTTTTCTTGATTTCTTGATATAATTTATATCAAGATAAAGCTGTAAATTTTTATTATTTTTTTTAAAATAATTTTTTTTTTACAAAATCCAAATTAAGTCTTTTTTAGTTTTATATAATTATAATTACATTAACTGAAAAAACTATTAAAGTTTAAGTAATAAAAAAAAGTAAATTTAGATTTATTAGTTAATTTCATTATTTTTAATATATTTTATTAATTAAAAAAAAACATTTAAAATAAATAAAAAATATCTAAAAAAAATATTAAATCTATTATATTAAACTATTATTAATACTATATATTAATAATATTATAATTTTTATAGTTTTAAATAATTAATTTATTTATAATACTATTTCAAGTCAATTTGAGTCAAGTCAAGTTTGAGTCAAGTTTAAATCGAGTCAAGTTAAATATTTAACTTGATTTGAATTTGATTTAACTCACAAATTATCAAATTAAAAAATATAAACTTGACTCAATTTAAACTCAACTCAACTTATCTGATTCGTGAGTTAACTTGACTCATTCAAAACTCTAGCAATTATAATATATAAATAAAAATTTTTTTATATTAAAATTTTTATTTATAAAAGTACTATTTCAAAGATAAAAAAAAATAAATTATATAAAATATAAAATTAAATTACTTATTAAGTGAGTTCATTTATATACAAATTTAAAATTCAATTATATTTTTACTAATATTATCTAAATATCTTATTATAAATTATAAATTTAAAATTAGGAAAAAGATATAAATCTAAATTGATTTGCTGAGTTAGTTTCTTTTTTGTTAAAATTATTTTTTTTTATTAAAAATAATTTTACAATTTAATCATAAAATAAATTATTAAACAAAATATTAATAATGAACTTAATACTATAGTAGAAACTGAAATCTCTTCAAAAACATATAGTTTAATTTAAAAAATGAAAAATAAAATGTATATATTATTTATAAGTATATATTTATTTTTTATTTTATAAAAATATTATATTTATTAATATTTTAAATATTACAGTATAAAATATAAGTATACTAGTAAAATTACTAGTAACTTTTATTAGCATTTAAAAAATTAATATTCTGCTAAATTAGAAAAATTAAAATAAAAGAAGCAATAGATAAATATATTAATAAAATATCATCTGTAAGTTTTAATTAAAAATTTGTTATATATTTACCAAATATTAAAATTTATAAATTTATATAATATTTCTTAGTTAAATTTATAAATATATTTTTAATTAGATTGTTTATAATGATTAATATTTTATAACTCTTAAATTAGAAAATTTACAAAATTTATTTCAAATATTAAATTCTTATATTAAAATACTTTTGGTTGATACTATTTATATAGATATAATAAATTATTTTAAGTATATATAAAAATTTAAATTATTTTACAGATAATTACTTTTTTATTTTTATTTATATATATTTAATATTAATATTTATTTATTTCAGAATGTTCTTGATCATATATTATTTATAATTGATTATTTAATTATATTTTTTTTTTTAAAGATTATAGCTTATTAGTTTTTAAAAAGAATAGAAATTAATAAAAATTTTAGTTATTTTTTATAAATTAAATAGGACTCATTTAGAAGAAAATAAATTTAAAATCCTTATTAAAGTATGTATATATTTTTTAATTTTTTTAAATTTAATTTAAAGTAATAATTTATATTTAATTTATATTATAGATTCAATATTATATTAACTAATAATATCAGAAATAATTATATTATAATCATATTTGATATTTTGCACATATTATAAATTTAATCATATAAAATACACTTATTTTTTTAAAGCTAATTATTTAAAAAGAAAATTGAAATACTTTATAATGAAGTAACAAATAGCATAGTTTTAAAGATAATAATATATATTTTTTAAATTTTTAAAATTAATTTATAACTTGTTATTTATTTATAATAAACTCATTATTCAAATTTAAGTTTTACCTCAATATTATGAAAAATTTTTACATTAATATAATTCAGCTTCTCTTTCTATTAAAATACTATAAAAATAAAATAAAATTTTACTTATGATATGATTAAATGTAATTTTGAATTATATGAGATTAGTATTAAAGAATTTATTTTTATAACTAAATTTATAAAAATTTATTATAATTATTAAAACTTTGACATAAAAATAGACAGAAAATTAAAATAATTTATTTAGGTAATATAGATTAGTTATCAAAAAATTTAGTTTATAATTATAATCGATTTAAAGCTAATTTATTCTGAAATTAATTTTAATTTAATTTAGAATTATTTATAATTCAAAGTAATTCAAATATTAAATTTAAAATTTTAAAATTAATTCTAAATTACTCTTTTAGAATTATTTTATTTCTAATTTAAGCATATAATAAATATTTTAGTCATAATTTTATGAAGAAGTATGATATGACAAGATTTTTTTTTAATATTTTTTTCTTATAAAACAAATTTATTAAATATTATTTAAAATGCAATTTCAAGCTTTAAACCTTTTATATTAAAATTAATAAATAATTTTTTATAAATAATAATTAGTATTTAATTAGTTAAATATTTACAGAATTAACATATTATAGAATATTTAATTATAAATTTATACATTTAAATATTTTTACTTGTAATCAGAATAAGAGCTCAAAATAGAAATCTATATAATATGAATAATAATATATTTTTATTAAATTAAATAACTAATTAAATATTAAACTATATATCTAAAATCAGATAAAGATTTTAACTTTAATTAAGAAATACTAAATGGTTTAAAAGGAAAATGAAAATATTTTTAACTAATATTAATATTAAAATAAATATAATTCAATTTTAATTATTTATTATATAATTATTTTTAAAAAATTAATAAGAAAAAATTAAGTATATTTAATTAGTCTAGAACGTAAGTAAAAGACTATTTAATACTATACAACTTAATAAATTTGCTAGTCTGTCTACTCACTTATTATTTAAGTTGATGTAATTTTATTTACTACATTTGTCTGTTATACACATGATTGTATACCTTTTTGCTGATTGATTAAACATCATATTTTAGATATTCTAATAGTTTCTGCTACCTAATTTATTTATAATTATTATGAAATATAATAATTTAATTATTAGTTAGTTTTAAGATATCATAATTGTTTTAAATAATAATAAATAAATTTTAATATTTTTATATTTATTTAAATTTAAAAATATATTAGAGATTAAAAATTTTGATTAAAGTTAAATAATATATATTAGTATTTTAATTAAAGATTTAAAATTAAATTAGAATTAGAATTAATATTAATGTTAGAATTAAATTATTTATAAATATTATATTTATTTTTTTAAACAAATTTTTTAAAATATTATTAAAAATATTTATATTATTAAATATTTATTTATTAAATATTTATTTATTAAAATTTTTTATAATTTATATTAAAATGAAGTAAATAAAAGATTTAGTGATTTTTAATATATGTATTATTTAAATAATCTTAATCATAATTTTTATGATTTTTTTAAAATCTTTTTTATAATATTAATTATTTGATAAGTATTTTAAAGTTTAAAAAAATTTTGAAAATTTAATATATATATAATAATATAATTATTAAAAATGAAGTATTATTTTTAAATAATAGTTTGAAATAATAAATTTCAAAATAATTGTAAATTAATTAATTAAATAAATTTTGATTTGTACACCCATTTGTTAATCGCACCAAAAATGTCATCGATATGATTCATTGTTACACGTAAATAAACTCAAATCGTTAAAAAAAAAAAAAAAAAAAAAAATAAACTCAAATAATTTCATTCCTTTAATAAATGGGAGGTTTGCTATTAAAATTATGTCGCAACTACGATTTTAATAGCAAACCTCCCTCCTAAATATCGAATACTTTGTCGAAAGCACTGATAAGATTAATAAGGAGCTTTCAGCCGCGAGCTTGCCGCAAATGTTAAATATGTTCATTCTAACGTTACAAAAGTCTTTATAACGCGTGGGCACGTCACTTACTCAAAGAAGCGGAATCACATTTGGAACAAAAAAATTTTATCTCGTTGAAAAATAAGGTGCATATTTTATTTTATTTGGCGTAGTTAGGGTAACTCCCAGTTGACCGCGTCTTGACTTGTGAGAATTACTGGATTTGACAGCTTGGTAACCATCCCAGGTCCTCAATTCAGGCGCCATTAACTTTGTTGTTGTTAATAAGTCTACTGTTCCTTAAAGGAGAATCGATTATGTGCTTCTCTTATTACTTTATAGAATATTCTATGCATTGTTAACATTATGTTTCTCACGATAGGTAAAATTAGAACGTAAAAATGAAAGTTTGAAGAATAACTAGCAAGAGGCGCTCAAAGAATCCAGAAGGTAAATAATACATGAATGAAATCTTGTTTAAGTATAATTTACTAAGCTAGATGTTTATTACTATAGAATTTCAAAAAACGAAAAACGAAAACAAGAAGATAAAGAAAATTTCGGTAAGAATTTTTTTGAATGTTGTAATTCTTGTCTTCACTATTTTATATTTATTAATCTTAATTAATTTGTACGCCCTTAATTTGAACCTTAGAGAAAAGGAAGTTTACGAAAAAAATGTAAAAACGTGTAGAAAATTCGGGTCTCTCCACACAATATTTTAAAGTATAATATCCTAATATCTGAAGTGGAAACCAACAGAATTGTCAAAGAACCAAATTTTACGATGCAGAACGCGGATTTGGTGAATAAAATCTTAAAAAGTAAGTTTATGGCGCCGGTAAGTGAACACAAATTTATACATCATAACCGTCATTGCTTCTCAAGTAAATCCGCTTTCTTTCTTAATAACTATATTCTAACCACTTGTCTAATTGCATTTACTTAGCATAATTTTGAAAATGAAGCTAGCACAACACGCTTTTGGATCGATATAGAAAGAAATCTACAAATATTTAATGATTCTTTATTTAAGCGTCTAGCTTTGATGTTTGGAAGCGAGTTTTACGAATGGCCATCTTAAATTAATATGGGAAGATTTCTAAAAAAAATCAGGTTCCGAGAAAATTTAGACTAAAATTAAGAACTTTATGCATTTTAATCTAATAGCATCAAAAACTAAAATGCAATAAAAATCTCAATTTTGTTAAAAAATTCCCGGAACCTGATTTTCCAAGCAATCAACCCATATGGTCCATAACGAGTTCCTTGGTTGCTTCAGCATTATCAAGAACACTATAGCCGCGAATGTGAATTATCCTATCCTTTCGGTAGTCATTGTTGAATCCTTGAGCTGAACTCAAGCAATGATTACTATTCAACGTCCGAAACCCACTCCAGAATATTTATCTAAAGAGCAAGTGTAAAAACTTTTCGAAAATTCGAATTAGAACATAGAATTGGGCCGGGATGTTGAAGAGATCTTCTCAAGTAGAAAACAAGACCCGCTATGGTTACAAATTCCGAACCTGTGACTATCAGAAATCACAGGATCTAATCCAGGTCTGTTATCTCGCTAGGAATGGGTATTTGTGATGTTAGTGAACACGGTTATGACCAGTTATAACCGTGACCGATATCGGTCACTTACCGACCGATTCACTTTTTAATTAGAATTATTCTTGTATTTAAATTAACAATCTTTAAAAATAAAAATAAATAAATATATTTTTTATTTAATTATTTATAAAAAAAAATTTAAATTTAAATTCCGCGCGCGATAAAGCTATGCCAATAAACAATAAAGCATAAAAAAAATATTTTATGGGAAAGATTAATAAAATGACATGCTATGCAAGATTAATAATTAAAGTAAAAATTTAAAATTTTCATAATTTGTTCAATTAGAAGCTTTCTAATAACCAAAAACTGTTAAATTATGTCAATCGGTCGGTCAAACGATCGCTAACACCACGGAGAAATATTCAATATATTTTGGAAATCTGATAACTTATTATGGAATGCAGATCTATTTCAACGCTTTTTATAAAAATTCGATTTTTTTAAAAAAAAAAATTTAGATCAAAAAATAAATTTTTGAAAATGTTCAAGGTATATCACTTGAAATTTTAAAATATTCATGAGAACAGAATTTTATGTATTAATATTTTTTTTTATACTTTTTGAGATTTTGTTCATATTCGGATGAATGGTAAAAATGAACCTTTCTTGATACTACTAATAATAAATTACAATACTCCTTGAAAATTAAAATTAATACCTAATAAAGGATCCTTGAAAGTAGTTTTTGATGCTACAAAATATAAAAGCCGAAAACTTCATTTGAACTGTTGAGGATTTTGCTCAATTCATATCATTGAAGTGACTTTGAACGGAAGAATTATTTAATCATTCCGGAAAGTTAACTGAGCAAATAAGTATTACGGAGATGAATATCAAGAAGTTCCAATCATTCAATAGGAAATTAAAAGGATTATAGATGTAGGAATCATCGGAGTCAAACTGAAGTTAACATTCTTGTGAAGAAAGATAATGCAGGTTGTCATTAATGATTGTTTCTAAAATTTTGACACTTACGTAAACTACGTGTGTTTGTATATATATTTGTCATTCATCATACTTTTTCATATGCGTACGTCGTTATATCAGCTATCAAAAAGACTTTGGTTGTTTCGAACTTAACGGTCATTCCGAATTTTTTGGATAGGTGATGAAAATTTTCGAAATGATGATTTGAAAGCATCGATACATATATTGTTCAGCTGTACTGATTTGGATTATGGGCTGATAAATATGAAAAGACAGCTACTTGGGTTGGTGATTAAGTGAAAGACTAACAAAGAAGTTCTCAGGGCCACAAAGATAAGATGTTCTAAGATTACGTAAACATACACCTCAGAATCAGGTCAAGTTCATGGGTTGATTGTACTAAACCAGGTACTTATGTCAAAATACTTGGTGAAAAATTTCATACTCGTACTATTCATGACACAATAATGCACAGGACAGGAGAAATTCATTATGTTTGAATTTCATGGCTCTGGCGAAAATATCACCTTTGAAATTATGTAAGTATCTGATGGATCTCTTTTTTTACTTAAGTTCTCACTTCAAATCGAAGAACTGACTGTTTACAGGAAATTTGTAGAAGTCAACTTCTTTGACTTGGAAGAGGAATTTGTCTTTAAATTAGAGATCACCAATCTTCTTCATCACAGCTGAATCGTTTATTAATTGTAAATCCGAAGAATTACCGATCATCTTAGTAATTACATTACATATTTGAGAACTTATGTTTAAAAGGTGTGAACAGTTTAAAGTTATGTTTAGAAATCGATGATATTGATCTTGAGAATAAATGAATTGTATGACACTTGAAAATTTGTTGCCCATTGGAAGATTCTGACGATGAAACTCAACCATTTAATTCAGTTTAAGGTAAACAAAATATTTATTATCTTTTTTTTGACTGTTTATTTTTACAATTTTTATAATTAAAGAATACATTGTTACCACGAAATTTGTACTACTTATATCAAAATTTTTTATCAAACTCATAAAATGGTTCCATTTCTCTTAATAACAGGACTACGAATATTTTAGATTTGAAAGCACTGAGGAATTTGCTAATAGTGCTTAAGAATTGTTTTAACAGCGAACATGACATAAATTGTTACGTGTTATCGGCTTATATACTATTTTGTATCTCGTTATACTATCACCAGAGGTCAATGATGATTCTTGGTAAGAATTTTAAAGAGTGCTTGTATTTATAATCATATAAACGAGTCTAATGACAAAGATTATATTTTATTCAGTGGTGAAAATGCAATTAACAAGAAACATTCAAAGTAACTTTCAAAGAACCATGAATACGCATAATCGCAATCACAAGGTTGAAAACCTGCCTTAAATGATATACTCCAAAGTAATTACGAATAAAATTTGGACCATTTTCTTGGTTCTTATTTGCTCCGCAACTATATTCATGGCAACCAACAACTCTGACAGCATCTCATCATTATTAAACGCATTGGATGTTCATTATGAACGTTCTAGGATATGTTTAGGGTGGAAAATTGGATCAACTTTTAATGCTTTTGGTCTGACTATATTGTAACACGTCATGGAAAGGGTTGAAATAAGCAAAGACAATCGGTATATATAATATTTCTTCTCAGAAAGTGGATGGATCAAACATATTGCGTAATGTAAGCTTGTTCTTGAATAGAACCCGTACTTGTTTATATACAAACAGAGAAACTCTTAAAACGATCATGGTTGTATGCAAACTACTGATAAGATGGTTAATTTGATGTCAGCGAAACCTTTATCAAGATTATTGATATTACAATATTACCATAAGCGTTAGCCCTTAGATATTATGCTATTCAAAAAGTTGATAATGAAAAGGTGTGATCATTTAAAGAAAAGAAGATGACCTTAACATATTCAAAAAAGTTGAAGTCGTCAATATGCCCGAACAGCTGTATTGAATCAAGCTAGGAACTTTTTGGAAACTGAGATTCGGTTGAATCTAATTGAGAGGTATGAAATATCCGTTTCCAATTGCTATTCTACTGTCAAACGTTTATTTTCCCAGAGAATGAGATACTTGCATTAAGGACTTGAACTGAGAATTGGATTATACTTTATTAAACTGTACCGCAATGAATTTGAATAAAACGAAATTTCAATGATTTATATTTTTTTTTAATCTGAACAAAAAGGTAAGGATCAGGAAAATAAGAATATTGCATGAAAAGATTTTAAATAGAAGGAATAACTGTGTCCTCTTTGTCACATGACGCAATGTATATGCTTGCAGACGATTGGAGGGTAAGCAAACCATTTTATGAGAAGGAAAATTAAATATATAGTTTTCAAATCACCATTCTATTTAAATTTATTTAATAATGCTTAGTTACCGTGAATATATTTGATTGAATCTTAAGGCTTATTTGATGTCTTTTTCTTTTTTTTAAAAAAAAATTAATACTAATATTCACTTTTGGTCACGGCTAAAAATAATAATTTTATTAAAATATATGATCCATTTAACTAAAATTCAATATTTATAACGATATAGCCCATGTTAAGTAATATTTAATTTTCTATTTATTATGTAGAATCCTGCGAGAGGCACAAATAAGAAAAGAAAGTATAATTCGGTCAACGATTAGTATAGTGTAATTATAAAATTTTGTACAACAATAGCATTGCTACGTTAGGTAATTATTATATAATAGGTCTCGATTTAAATAAAAAAGCAAACGATCCTTATAGCTTACTTTTTCGCGTTAAACTTCACTCTTTGCTAAATAAACAACCTTTTGACTTTTAATCGTAAAAGAACGAAATAGTTGGTCATCATATCGTGGAATCTTGGACGTTAATTACGATATCCGTTGCTTCGTTGTTCTTGTTAATACATGGGCTTTGACACTTTCTGAAGGAAATAGAATCACTGTTGGAACGATAAATTTTTTGCATATTGAAGGCAAATCCAAGTTGACCGCATCTTGACTCAGAAGAATTACTGGATATGACAGTTTGAAAGTAAACAAATCAAGCGCCCTAACTTTTGAAGTTAATAAAGGTCTTCTGATTCTGGAGGAAGAATTGTTTATTTCTGAGAGAGAAAAAGTAAGTTCAAAAAATGTAAGAGCTTGTAGTATGAAACTTTATTATTCAGGTCTCCAAACTCACTATTATATTTTTGAATTTGTTAATACTAGTATCAGAAGTTGGACTACTAATAGAGCGATCAGTTTAGTCTTTAATAATGGGTTAAGGACCGTTGGGAAACAACACAGATTTGGTGATAAGAATCTCAGAAGGCAAGTTTATGGTTCGGAAAGTCAACAAAAATATATCGAACTATGCAAGCATTTAACAGAATATCATAACTCTAGTAAATATGAAATTTTCTAAATTACTAAAAAAAAAAAATAATAATAATTATTTTGCACATCCCTAACAATAATAATATGCTAACCACTTGTTTTTCTTATTGTTTTTTCCCAAGAATTACTTGGAAATTGTCGAAATAAGATGTATTAA